TGCATATCAATAAAAATGTATATATAAAATACATATTATTCATAAGATATATCAGATACATAATAACAATTTGTATTCAGTTTCATCCACTGTTATATACCAAATATTCTCCATTTTCTAACAAACGTTAAAATCAAATAAAAAAATAAAAGGAGGTAAACTTTACAAGTTTTATGAGAACATTGACAAAGGAGGCCATAATTCCATTTTAAATAATCATTCGCCAATAACTAGAATATCACATATTAATACAATTAAATTAAAAAATACATTAGCTGGAATCTAAATTTTCAAATTTTTCCATTGCATCATGTCAAAGGCTTTTTCCACCTTCAACAAAACCATTAATGCCGATTAGTGACTGAACAACAAGTTACTGTTAACATTTTTGCCTCGATCTTAAAAAGAGAAACCAGATGATCAATTGCAGAGTTTCAGTTAATGCAAACTTTAGTGAAGGTGGGGAGAGAAAAAGCATTGTTATACCTCCAATGAGAGAAGGGAAAGAGCTGAAGAGATCTTATACCAGTGATGGCAAACCTTTTAGAGACTGAGTGCCCAAACTGCAACCCAAAACCCACTTATGTATCCTTGGGTGCCGGGTGGGCGTGGCCAATTGGGTGGGTGTGGTCCATTGTGTGGGCGTGGCTGCAGTGGTAATGGCAGACTAGGTGGGACTAAAAAGTTCAATCAATCAATCCCATTGCGGCTGTTAAAATGAATGTTCTACCAAAGTTTCTCTTCTTGTTTCAAATGATACCTATTTTGAAAAAAGATGCCAATTTGGATGAATGGCAGAAGGGTATTAATAAATTTATTTGGGCGGGGGAAAAACCAAGAATTAAATTTAAGATCTTACAAGATGCACGGGAAAGAGGAGGACTTAAGGCGCCTAACTTGAAATTATACTATGATGCGGTGGTTTTAACATTGGTTAGTGATTGGCTTAATTTAACAAATAAAAGTATACTTCATCTGGAGGGATGGGACTTATTATATGGGTGGCATGCATACTTAATTTATAATAAAAAAGTTGACAAGGCTTTTAAATCTGATATTTTAAGAAGTGCTTTATTGCGTGTCTGGAAAAAGTATTATTATAAGTTAAATTACAAAATACCAATCTGGGGGATTCCTGGACACGTGATAGAGGGGGTATCTATGGATGTGAATTTGGATAGGATTTCTTATAAGGAATTACTTAGATTGGTAGGGAATGATTGGCAATTAAAATCGTTAGCTGAGTTAAAGCAAGAAAATATTGTACAGTCTTGGTTTCAGTATACTCAATTATTGGTTAGGTGGAAGTTAGATCAAAAAGTTGGTATTACATTAATGGATGAGAATTTGGTAAAACAGATTAAAGATCAAAATCGAGCGCATATAAAGAGAATTTATAATGTTTTAATAGAGATGGATTCGGAAATGGAATTAGTTAAAGATTGTATGGTAAAGTGGGCCCAAAATATTCAAGAACCGATTCCACTGGATATATGGGAGGTAATTTGGGTTAGAAATGTAAAATTTACCCAGGCCCAAAATTTAAGAGAAAATTTTTACAAAATGTTTTATAGATGGCATCTGGATCCTAAAAAGTTGTCTNTCTTGTATGTATCCTAATTTACAGCCCAAATGTTGGAGATGTGGTAGCTTGGATGCTACTTATTTTCATATTTGGTGGACTTGTAGAAATATAAAAGCTTTTTGGATTAAGATTTGGTGGAACATTCAAAAGATTTTCAAGAGAAAGATAAAGTTCACTCCACAATTATTTTTGTTGGGTGTTATTACAGATTGTGATATTAAAGAAACTAACTTGATGTTGAATTTGATAACAGCTGCAAGGTTATTAGTAGGGCAATATTGGAAGAAGGATTGCTTGCCTACTATAGAAGAATGGACGCTTAAAGTGTCAAATTTAGCAGAAATGGCTAAGATTTCTGCCTATTTGAAGGATTACTCAGAAGAAAGATACATTTCGGTTTGGAGAAGATGGATAGATTATATTCAGAATAAATATGGGACTAAAAAGTTCCATTTAGCCTATGAGTAAATTTTAGAGTATTATTAGTATTAATAGTTTATTATAGTGAAATTTTTATTAGTTTTAATTATATGATATTATTACTTTTAGTATTAGTATTGTTTAACAATATGGATATTCTATTGTTTAATAATTAGGATACTAATTTGTTTATGTTTTAATTATTATTATTATATTTATGTTAAAGGGGAGTTAAAGAGCATTATGGACTTGGTTATTTATATAGTTGGTTAATGTTAGTTAGATTATGATTATTATATTTGTAACCCTGTATTCAGCTCTGGGAAGTGGGGGAGGGAGAGGGGGGTTAGGGTGGGTTGGTTTTGGGGTTTATATTGTAACTTTTATAAAACTTTTCAATTAAAAAAAAAATCAATCAATCCCAACTTTGTGAGATCTTTTTTTTCCCCCACAAAATTGAACCTTTTTTGATTGAACCTTTTTTTTTTTTTGCACGCGGCAGCGGAGGCCTAAAGCGAAAAGGTTTTATAAAACCCAGCTGAAGGCCTAGGACTGGAGCAACGGCACACGTGCCCACAGAGAGGGCTCTGCATGCCACCTGTGGCACGCGTGCCCTAGGTTCGCCACCACGGTCTTATACCATCCAGTGGAATATCCGTTCAGACTGGAAACTTCCTTCCTTACATAGAATTAGAGGGTTATCTGTTATTTCTTAGATAAAGGCAGCTTGATCATGAGTAATCTTTAGAAGAACTATATTATGAAAAAAAATTCTTAATTTCTTTTTCAGTTATATTTGGCTTAGCATTAAAAATTGAAACCAAACATTTTTAAGTTGCTTCAGTTATTCAGAAGGATTATATATTTTACCCTGGGCATCTTTAGTAACAGAGATAGTACCATACTGTGCAATTATTAGCTGGTTGAGTATAATTCAATGAATATTCTCTTTCAAGTTCATAAAGGGAATTAAGTTTCTGTTTAAGAACTCCATAACATTCTGAGGTAGGCTGCTCAAGAGTTTCTTAAATTTATTAAAATATTATTTGTTTGTTTGTTTGTTTATTAATTTAATTTCTATAGCCACCCATCTCAGTCAATGACAAAGAAAAAATAGTTAATGGTAAGGAAAATAATGGAATGAACAATCTGTACAATAACTGCTCCAGCATAACTTATACCAAGAAGATCAAAATGAAACAACACTATGACGTATACCTCCAAAACATGACTACTCAGAATTTCCTATTCAGTTCTTCCTAGCCCCTTCAGACCAACCCAATTTGCCAACTCTTTGGTACATTAGGCTCCTTCCATGAACAATGTTGTTGTTAATTGCGAAGTCGGGTCCAACCCATCGCGACCCCATGGACAATGTTCCTCCAGGTCTTCCTGTCCTCTACCATCTTCTGGAGTCCATTTAAGTTCACGCTTACTGCTTCAGTGACTCCAACCAGCCACCTCATTCTCTGTCGTCCCCTTCTTCTATTGCCCTTAATCTTTCCCAGCATTAGGCTCTTCTCCAGTGAGTCCTTCCTTCTCATTAGGTGGCTAAAGTATGAACAATAGGGTTAACCTATTCTCCAAAGCAATTAAGGGCAGGACAAGGAGTAATGTGTGAAAGATTATTAAAGACAGATAAAACCTAGTATTAAAGAGACATTTCCTGACAATGAGAACAATTAATCAGTGAAACCGGTTGCCTTCAGAAGCTGTATGTGCTCCAACACTGGAGGCTTTCAAGAAGAGATTGAACAACATTTGTCTGAAATGTTTTAGGGTCTCCTGCTCAAGACCTCCAAGGTCCCTTCCAACTCTGTTATTCTATGTTCTATATCAGTGGTGGCGAACCTATGGCACGGGTGCCAGAGGCGGCACTCAGAGCCCTCTCTGTGGGCACACATGCCGTCGCTTCAGTCCTAGGCCTTCAGCTGGGTTTTATAAAACCTTTTCGTTTTAGGCCTCCACTGCCATGTGCAAAAAAAAAAGGTTCAATCAATCAGTCAATTTCAACTTCTCGCGGGGAAAAAAAAGATCTCGCAAAGTTGGAATTGATTGATTGAACTTTTTAGTCCCACCCAGTCTGCCGTTACCACCAAAGCCACGCCCACCCAATGAGCTGCCCAATTGACCACACCCATCCAATGGGCCACACCCACCTGGCATAAGTGGGTTTTGGGTTGCAGTTTGGGCACTCGGTCTCTAAAAGGTTCGCCATCACTGTTCTATATTCTATGTTCATGCTCCTTTCCAATTTACTGTATTTTTCAATATTACATGCCATATTCTGATTCTGGACTGCCATCTGCTGGTCAAAAACAGCCTAGCAGTTTTGAAATTTCTAGGCAAGAACAGCTAAAGCACTGTTTTAGACTGGAAAGCTCAATAGACGAACAGAACCTATTGTATAGATTAATTACAAAATGAGAGCCAGAGCATGCACACTTTTTATTTTTCAGTAAAACTGAGTCAGAGGGATAAAAAGAAAAAAATGTACATCGGAGAGACACAGAACCCATCTGTGTGACTCACAGAGACTAAGAACTGACTAATTTGAAATGACCACATTTATTTCAGCAAGCTACAAAAAACATTTATGCAGAACTGTTAATACTGCATTTCCTTCCATTGCAGAAGATCCTACTTTCCCCATGGCAGAACTTCAGCAAAAGCTAAGGGCAGGTTACGGAGAAGACTACCAGGGCCAGCAGGGATATCATTTCCAAAGCCAGCTGACAAGAAGAAAGCACAAGGGTGCTTCAAGGGCCAGTCAGCATCACCCAGGGCGAAGTCACACTGAAAACCACCCTGAGCCACCTCCCCATGCCATCTGTTTGTTTTTTTCTTTAAACATCAAAACACTCGACCTAATTTGCCAAGTGTGCTTGCAGAATGGACCAAAATATAATAAGGTTAGAAAATGGGAAAGAAAGATGAAAAAGAGCATCTGGAGGTGACAAAAGTCTCTCCGCCCTTTTGGGCTCTCAAGCATTACCTGAAATTAATACCAGGAGAAGGTCATCTGCTGTGAGACTCTTGGCTAATTCCAAGATGGCCCTGGCCGCCTCCAAAGCGTCTTTATCAGGAAGATTCTCCCTCGCTCCTTCCAGGACTTGGATTCGGCTGCACGGCTTCAGCAACATTTCCCTGCAGCATTTTTTTTTCCCAAAAAGAGTCACTTATTAGCTGAGCTTTGTACTGCTGAAACCCATGATGTTTAAAACTTCTTAAACAGACGGCCAGCCAGGATAATTAAAGTGATAATGAAAGGTAAACCAAAGAATATCGATCACCTAAAATTCTGCCTAACGAGCAACTCAAACAACAAGTTAGTTTCTGTTTTTCCCACAGGTTAAGTAAAAATAGGAAGTATCTCCATAAACCTGTTCAAGTAGCTAGTACTTGAAGTAGGAAAGCAGCTCACAACTGAGATTAAAGATACACCAAGCCATGAAGGACTCAAGAAAGAATTCTTGAAGCCGGCTCATATATCTCATCTCCATAAAATGTAGCCTTCTTCCTTACCTCGTTCCTGCATGTCGCAGAGTTTCTTGAATGCCTTGAGGAATACTGATTATTCCCTGAGTGAGGTAGCCTCCAAGGATGTCCTCAGCCACTGCTGCCATGCCCAGAACAGCCTTTCCAAAGCCAACCAGGTACAGATTTCTCTTCAGTTCAAAAGGACGGCCCTGTAGCAACAGTCTGGGGCATCCGCCCGTTTCTAGCACCAAGGACCTTTTCAGTATCGGCCCCGGGAGGACCGCACCCACAGCACTGCGGAAAAAATGTAGCCCGTGGTCCTTGAGAGTCATTTTCAGAGAGGATATCTCACTGGTGAAACTAAAATTGGGCAACCAACAGGTTTTGCCAGGGATTGGCAAGCTTTTGAAGACAGAAACCATGCCCCGAATCCACCAGGAATAAGCGATGATTAATGTCCTGAAAAAAAGTGGATAAGTGATTAAGGATATCTGGTGAGTTGCTTTTCACTCCCAGAATATATGCCTTACAGAAACTTTGCTTGCTATGAGCTTTGTTTTTTTTCCTCACCACCACCTCCTGTCTTTCTGTTCTCCTGGGAAGGTCCAGAGGTCTTTTTATACACTCAATTTGATAGATCAAATGGGAAGGTTAATAATTTGCCAGTAAGAATTGCTTGGAAACAATTTATCTGGCATTTAGGGAATAGAAAAAAACTAGGGTTAGTTAAACAACATAATCTTGAAAAAGAAATATATGCCACATATATTCTCCTCCCTCCCTAAAAATGTAGAATACAAACTAAATTACTGATTACAAAACAATAAAACTTCAAACATGGATATTTTATGAAGCCAGGGTTACAAAATAAGAAGCTGCAAAAAATTACTTAAAAGTTCCTGGGGAAAAGCATGCTGGCTTGGGGGAAGAAGGGGGAGGAGGAGAGGGGAGGGAGAGGGGCAGAGAGGGAGAGACAGAGAAACACAGAGAGAGTGAGTGTGTGGTCTAGGAACCAGGAGACTGTGAATTCTAGTCCTGTCTTGCACATGAAACCCAGCTGGGTGACTTTGGGCAGTCACTTTTCCTCAGCCTAACCCACCTCACAGGGTTGTATTGTGTGTGAGGTATTTATAAAAATAATAAAGGGGGAATATAAATAAATAAGAGAATGAATTTTATTTCCATCTGTGAAATTACCTCACTGGTAAGGATTTTCTATGGAGTCATGCAATGAACATCAGATAGCGAGAAAGGTCTTAACTTAAGAGTGAGAAATATTGATGGTGATGAAACCATGAATGTACTAATTTCTCCTTACACACTAAACATGAAAGAAAAATCTCCAGCTCTTAATAATCAACCTAATGATCAAGACTGACTCTCAGAAATAATGTTTGGGGAAGGCCGATCCCACCTGGTCCCTGGGAGAATCCTGCCCTCAGCTCATCAGTTCTACCATCTGTTGGCATCTTAGAACATTGGAGATGTAGTATATGGAATCCAAATTTCTAAACTGTCCTTCAAATGAGTTTTGAGTTTAAGACATCCTGAATTCTGTGATATTTGGATCCATCTCATTGGCTTCCCAGGGCCCCCGATAAGACTCCCAGCAGTCTTTTCAAACCGTATCTTTCTGGTTCTTTCAACCACACATATATGTGCATTTGCGTGCGTGCACACACATACACAGAGACTTTCTGTTATACAGCAGTGATTTTATGTTCAAAGATGCCAACAGATGGCAGAACGGATGAGCTACACGCTCTGACATGTTCTTTAGCATTTGTTCTTTCAATTCAGTTGATAGCAAGTTGCTTTGAGAAAATATTGTGTTTCTATTATTGGTGAATTGTTAAGCTTGCAATGAATACTCATCAATGCACACCAAGACTCGGAAAGGGTGCAGAGAAGAACAACTAAGACAGGAGTGTCAAACTGGCAGCCCGCGGGCCGGATGCATCATGAGCAGGTCAAGTCCACCCGGGCTCCACAAAGGCAAAAATTGTCACGATACGTCACATGAACTAAGATAATTAAGGGGCTGGAGCTAAAACATATGAAGAATGGTTGCAGGGACTGGGTGTGTTTACTCTAGTGAAAAGGAGTAGGGGAGATAGTATGATAACACTGTTATCATAACAATGTTCCAGTATTTGAGGGGCTGCCACAAAGATGGGGGGGCAATCTGTTTTCTAAAGCACCAGAAGCTAAGATGGAAACTAATCAAGGAGAGAAGCAAGCTAGAACCAAGGAGAAATTTCCTAACAGTAAGAACAATCAACCAGTGGAATGGCTTGCCTTCACTTGTCTTGTGAGTGCCCCATCATTGGAGGCTTTCAAGAAGAAATTGGACAGCCTTTTGTCTAAAACGGTATAGACTTTCTGCTCAAGCAGGGGTTAGACTAGATGACCTCTAAAATCCCTTCCAACTCTGGTATTGTTAATTATTAAATTATTCTATTCTCACATTAAGCCAAGAGACCCTTCAATTGAAATTTTATAGACTTCTGACCCTAGGATTAGATTTCTTGTTTTATATAACAATTTTATTAAATATAGCTGTACCCGGCCACGGGTTGCTGTGGCTCAGTCTAGTTAAATCAGTGGTTCTCAACCTTTTTAATGCCGCGACCCCAACCGGTCGTAAGTCGAGGACTAAAATGGTCGTAAGTCGAGGACTAAACCGGTCGTACGTCGAGGACTACCCAACCGGTCGTAAGTTGAGGACTTTCCCTGCCCGGGAGCGCCGCACATGCGTGGTTCCGCCCCCTGTGCCGGCTGAGGCGTAGCTGGCAAGCGGCAGAGACGGAGCAGGCCGACCACCAGCTGGCCCAGCCCAAGGGAGGTAAGGCACCCGCCGGAAAAGGGGGAAAAAATGGCGGACAAAAAAACAAAAAAAATGGCGGACAACCTTGCTTGGCGACCCCCATGAAATGGTCGATCGACCCCAAATGGGGTCCCGACCCACAGGTTGAGAACCACTGAGTTAAATGGAAAAGAAAGAAAAGAGAAAGCGCACGTTTGTAATATGTCCAACAGATGGCGCTGTTTTTCCAAAAAAAGCATGTTTTTATCTGTCACAGGTGTGACATCTATATAATAGTAGGTATATAAAAACACCTGCGTATTCGAATGCAACGTTGTGTCAAAATTTCAAAGCAATCGATGAAGAACTTTCAGAGATTTAAGATTTTGAACAAACGAACATTTACATTTTTATTTATAGATATAGATAATAGATAAGATATATAGATAGAAGAAGATTCTGTTAATCAGAATTCTGATAACTGGTTTGAGAATTGGTCTGATGATGTACAGTAGATTATGTTGAAATGACAGAAATAAAAGGCAGGCCTCCAGGCTCATGAAGACCTTGTGAAAGCTTCATGAAAACCTTTTTAAACAAACCACAGAGCTTGAGGATGAGCGCATCAGATGTGTGAACTTCTTGACATATCTACTATGAGCTGTGCTTCCTGCTTATGCAACCAAATAAAACTAAGAAATCTATATAAACTTGCATTTGAGGTTCATCCGGTCTAACTTTATATTCCTTCCTTTTACTTTTAACAATCTTGATCTTTAATCCCTTCAAATGCTGTCCTAAAACTTAATTTGTTTCCTTTTTTTTTTGTCCCTTCTTACAAAATCCTTTTTTCTTTTTTTTTCTTTGTCCCTTCTTACAAAATCCTTCAAATTTAAGAAATTTATTTTGTAAATTCAATATACAGTAGGAAAGTTATCCAGGCCACTATTTTGAATTGTTATCTGTATATCCCTTTTAATTATTAAGACACCAGCTGGTTTCATTTGTATATCCAGTATATCATATTTTTCCATATCATTCTGCTGCAAAGGTTGCTAACAGCTAAAAAGTAATTAAGAAGCAATTTCTGAAAGTGATTAAGAAATGACTCTCAGCAACCTTCTGTCCATATAGGCTGCATTACAGCAGTCAGTTTGATTGAAATACCTTGAATCCAGTCATTCAACTCATGAACTGAGTACCAAAATCTCAATTCCTACAGTCTTCTCACAAAGAGCAGTTACCCAGAGTAGAAGTGAGCAAATCTCATGATTTCTCCTTTTTCTGGAGAGAGACTACACTGGCCAGAATTCACAACTCTATCCAATACTGTTCCTGTCCTACAGGGATGTCTAGTTTGCCATAAATCTTCATCAGAAGTCCCATTTTAGGACTAGATTTTATACACTGTGGGTAAGCTCCATCTGAGCCTGTTTGGTTTGGTTTAGCAAGTTGTGTGAAACAAGCCATTCTAGTCTGCAAATCATCTGAACCTTGCCAAATGTGGTTTACTCAACAAAGGATTTAATAAATGATCACCTACCAATTTCATGAAGCAGATGTACAGTATTTCTCTTTCTCTGAAAATAATTCTGCTTCAAACATGGACATTTTTAGATAACCTGTTTTTGAACAAGCGATGTGCAAAGATATGGTAAATTGCTCTTATGGAAAAAGCTACTGATAAAACTTGAATAGTGACTTCTCAGATGGATGAACAATATTTTTATTAGAACTGGGAAAATCTGATGCTAACAGTCATAATTCTTCTTTTAAATTTATTGGTATAAGGAAAGTATGGTGGGATTTTGAGATACATTGTTCTGTGCTGCTTTCCTGCATTCTTGTTTCTTTGGACTCAATGACCTCCAAGGTCCCTTCCAACTTTATTTATTATTATTATTATTATTATTATTATTATTATTATTATTATTATTATTATTATTATTATTATTATTATTATTACATAATGTCTTCTCATAGGTGTGGCTAATCTGGGGTAATAAATCTCCTTTTTTACTCTTTCCTGCTATTAAGAGCAGTGTACCGATCAGTGTACTGAGTGTACTAAGGTTCAGCAGTGTGCTGCAGCTGCCAAAAAGGCCAACACAGTGCTGGGCTGCATTAACAGAGGGATAGAATCAAGATCACGTGAAGTGTTAATACCACTTTACAATGCCTTGATAAGGCCACACTTGGAATACTGCATCCAAGTTTTGGTCACCACGATGTAAAAAAGATGTTGAGACTCTAGAAAGAGTACAGAGAAGAGCAACAAAGATGATTAGGGGACTGGAGGCTAAAGCATATAAGGAAAGGCTGCTGGAATTGGGTATGTCTAGTTTAACGAAGAGAAGGATGAGGGGGGACATTCTAGCAGTGTTCCAATATTTCAGGGGCTGCCACAAAGGAAAGGGAGTCAAGCTATTCTGCAAAGCACCTGAAGGCAGGACAAGAAGCAATGGGTGGAAACTCACCAAGGAGAGAAGCAACCTAGAACTAAGGAGAAACTTCCTGACAGAACAATTAACCAGTGGAACAACCGGCCTCCAGAAGCGGTGAATGCTCCAACACTGGAAGTTTTTAAGAAGAAACTGGACAGCCAGTATAGGGTTACTTGCCTGAGCAGGGGGTTGGACTTGATGACCTCCAAGGTCCCTTCCAACTGTTTTATATATATTATTATTATTATTATTATTATTATTATTATTAATCTTTAAAAGTGCTGGAGATAGTAATATAATAATCAAATGCCATCTTGCTATATATGTAGGTTAAGAAAATAAATCCTCCAAAGTTTTCTCTGTGTTCTTGAGCTGTTTTGTCTACTTTAATCCGCTATGTGTGACACATTTTGGCCAAGAGCCTGATGTTTTTATTCCCATTGACATGCAAGGTCACAAGCGTATCAGGGGTGGCACTAACACCTCTGAGCCACAACAGCTTCCCTGCCGTCTTTCACTTCTGAACAACAGAGCAGACCAAAAGGGGAACGAACAATTTATTCTCTGCACTGAAATGAGGACTTTGAGGCAAGAGTTATGGCGAGCCAGATCGAAATGAAATTTCTTCTTGTGCTTTTTTCACTTGATCGTAGCAGCTGCTCAGAAAGTGATCCAGAAGCCTTCATTAATCTTGGCAGATCAGCTGAGAATTTCATCTTCTATGACAGCATTGCTCTGGGACTGTGAAGAGCTTAGATTAATCTCTTTTAAATGAAAACTTCATAAGCTGCCATTAATGAAAACTGGTCCTAATCTGCATATTAATTTGAATAAATCATGCCAGCATGTTCCTGTGATGGTTCCTTGCGACTCTCGTGTAGTTTCACTATATAAAAAATGGAAGTAACTTTTAATTTCTTATATAATTCCACAGAGTGGCATACAGAGAAAGCATTCTAAAATAAATAACTGAATCAGAGAATAAACAATAACATATATTATATGTGAAACATATATAACATTAAAAGAAGAAATTTAAAAAAAATTGAATTATTCAAGGTGGTCTGCAAAATCACTGGATAATGACATCATTTAACACCTACCTAGAATAACTATCTGAAATCAGACAGCTGTGGCTATAACCCGAATAACAATGGGATGAGCCAAAAATAAACCTTTGACAACACACTCTAGCAACCTAGGAAATGTTATATTCTTTTAAACATTTTATATCCTTTTGGGCAGTCACGTGTGACCTTTTGGTTGTAGTAAATAATACACTGTAATTAGAAAACAAAAAACTGAGCACCTATTGTTATGTATATCCCTAATCGCTTGCCTCCTAATATTTTTTCACAACAACCGCACTGTGGCCTTATATGCCCCTCAATTCAGGAACTGAAGCTGGACTTCTTTGTTTCTCTTCCCATCACATTCTGCCACAGGGCTGGACAGCCATACGTGAGAGCTACGTGACCCTCTGCTGCAAATCCTGGATCTGGTCCTGAGCCCCAACTATCTCCTAAAAACCTGGTGGGGATCGTATAGGTCGGATCAGATTGGTAGCCAATCTCAAAGCTCCTGTTCCTACAAATCCATCATTTCTCCCCAGTTAGAGGGAGGCACTCAATGGGAGAGCAAGTAATTGGATATAGTTTGTCCTGATGTTACCTAGTTTGGGTAATGAAGCGTCTGCAAGAAAACAATCAAGCTCAGAGAGCACCAAGGACTCCTTATAGTTTGTCCTGTTGGAAACCATCACCTTCACGCACATACGTTCACTACATGCAGTTCCTGATACTCAACTTATCAAGCAGTGGAGGGGGGGGAAGGGAAAGGAAGAGGAGAAAGCCTAGGAACTACTACTCTGAAATGGTGCTTCCTGAAAAAGGAGCAACCACTTCCCCCTATGGAGAGGGATTGCTCTGGCTTTGGGAGGGTAAGGGTAAACACACAGGTAGTGCAATTGTGTGTGTAAAATTTAAATTGTGGGTTTACAAATAGAGGAGGGGGTGTATAGAGAATATCCATGCAAGTGCATAGAAGACTTCATGTCAACAGTGGAGCTCTCCCCCTCATCTTCTGTTGCCCTATAGCCCTCAACAAGCGAGCCTCGAGCTAATTAATGCACCCAGATACTCTTCTTTGTCATTGCATCAACTCAGATATCAGCTGCTGCCATTTGGGGGCAAACCATGATTAAGCACAGATTCCTCAGCTTCCATTGACAATTTGTCTATTAATAATCTGAATCTGAAATATGCCACTAACGGCACTGAATTGTGTTGTTGTTTTTTCCCCACTAACAAAATAATATTATGCAGTCCTAAAATCACTGTAGTTCCACATTTAGCTGTTATAATGTATTTTGTAAGGCAAAACATGAGGTGCATTGTGCAGACTTCTGAGTACATTTCTTGCTCAGGGACTCTAAACTGCAGCTGTAATTTGACTTCACTGAGAACTAATTGAGGTGAAATGCATAGGTGTGTGTCACCTAACACAACTGTAACCTGATTAATTTATTCTTGGAATTTGTGACAACACATTATTCCAGTGTTTACAACTAAGATCAAGATCAAGGCAATTTTGGCAAGTTCCTGTTTCAGTAAGAATTGTTCTTCTGTTAACTTACCACACTAAAAAAAATTCTCACAATGTTCCACAATGTAGATATGAAATACTCATTCAACAGGTCATAAAAAGGAGATTTTGCAAATGACATATAATAGAAAATAGAAAAATGAGTTTAAGTTCAAAAATGGAAGAACTGAGACCTTTCCTGGGGTTTGTTCACTTGTCTGTAACCTTCCCGACCTATCATTTAAAGTGGTAAAGAGAGGCAATATTTTCCTGGCTGTGCCTCATTTGATTATATTCTCTAGTAATTTTCCCATCCATTTTGGTGCTTTTTAATAAAGATAGGGTAAAAGAAAAGAGCTTAGAGGGATGGAAACAATACAAAGAACCAGTATGGAGCAGGAAAAAGACTAAACATATTTTCTATCAATTTAGAATTTGGAATCAGCTTGTAGGGGTGAGGGGGCAACATAGAAATGAAACAAACAAACAAATCTATGCCAACATTTCTCTGGTTCCCAAAATGCCCTCCCACTCCCTGGAAACTCATGGCAGTTTCCTATTATTCTGTAAAATATAAGTGTTACATAAACCTTAGAATAAGCATGATTTAAGTCATGCTTGACTCTTGCTGGCTACATGAACAAATCTGTGGCAGCAATATAGAAGTGATTTGCCACTTGCCTGGGATTTCTTTTTTACTTTTTAGTCTAGCCTACAGCCCTAGTATTCTCTAGAGGTCTGCCATCTAAGCAGTAATTCAGGCCAAATATTTTCTTTTCTGAGATCAAGCAGGATTGACAAAGTGCTGCCGTCTGCTGCAGGCACCAAGTAAGCACATAAAAAAAAAAAACCTGCCGCCACACAAAGACAGAGGAAAGAAGAAAAAGAGATTCAGCCACATTGCAGCTCTTAGCCCATTTAAAAGTACAGCTGCTGTAAGTTACCAAACATGTGCTCTCCCCCTCCCTGTTATACACCAAGTCTTTCCAAGTCTGCTCTACTTCTAGTAGTGAGGTCTTCAACTCCAATATTTCCCTCTCAGCATCCCTGTGTATGGAGATTGATGGTGGATAAAGGAAGGCAGGGAAGAGAGTGGAAAGAAGAGGGCAATGGGCCAGTTGGAAATACAACACTGGGACTTATTCTAGTTTAGAAGCCTTTCAAACAGTAAAAAAAGAAATCTGCAAAGGTTAAATTACCACAAATTACAGGTAGTCCTTGACTTACAACAGTTCATTTGGTGACTGTTACAATAGCAGTGAAAAAGGTGACTTATGACTGTTTTTCATACTTATGACCCCATGGTCACACGATCAAAATTTGGATGCTTGGGATCTGATTCATATTTATGACGGTTGCAGTGTCCCGGGGTCATGTGATCGCTTTTTGTGACCTTCTGACAAGCAAAGTCAATGGGGAAGCCAGATTCACTTTACAACCGTGTTGCTAACTTAACTGTAGCAATTCGTGTGACAAGAAAGTTCGTAAAATGGGGGCAACTCACGTAACAACTGTCTCGCTTAGCAACAGAAATTTTGGGTTCAATTGTGGTCATAAGTCAAGGACTACCTATATTAGCCAAAACATCTAAAAGAAAACTTTTGGAGGCAGATTGCCACTGAATGGCATTGTTGAGGAGGGGTCACAGTCAAAAAAGGCTTCTGCAATTATGTTCCGCTTTCCAGCAATGCAGTATTTGCTTACTTACTATGAAAGCTAGCACCCACTGTTGTTACAGCTGTAGCAACTGGACTTGTGAGTGGAAGATAAAAGTTTTTGTGACATCAACCTTCCATCCTTCCAAGGTCAGTAGAATGAGGACCCAGATTGCTGGGGGCAATATGCTGACTCTGTAAACCACTTAGAGAAGGCTGTAAAGCACTATGAAGCAGTATATAAGTCTAAATACTATTGTTATTAATATTGTATCAGTGAACGTAGAATACTGCTTCTATGAAACTGTATTTTTGAAATTGTCTAAAAATAAAATAAATTCTTCAGAAGGCTATATATGCATTCTCTTCCACACAAATTTCAAGCTAAGACACAACATAATTTATTCATGCACATTAAAAAACACATTGTTTTTTAACAATTATCTCTATTTGTATATAAATTGTGTATGTATCTATATTTACACTTACCATAAACCACGGCAGGTTTTTAGTTCTGATCACATAAGGGATCCCTTTTTAATCCTAATATGGTGAGAGATGGGCAGCAAGCCATACTCACAGGACTTTTGGAGCTGCGACAGGTAATAGTTGACTTCAGTGTAGTAAAGTTGCTGTAGAACTTTTCATAAAGTCCACTAGTATTGCATTGTTTACCATTGATTATTTGTGTTGAATTTTTCACTCTCAGATTACATTGTTTGCAATGTTTCCATCTTGTAAAAAGGCAAAAAAAATTCATCAAATGGTTATTACAATGTTGTTTACATGTAATGTGCTTCTACATAATTCTCATATATTCTGCAATGAAAACTAGCAGCAGTCTCAAGCCTCTCCTTTAGGAGATAGATAATATAATTTGAAGTATTTTAATTCAGGAAAAAAACATATCATGGGGAATTCCATAGAAGCATGCATGCACAAGAGTCATTTGACCATTATGGGGTATGTTTCATAAATAAATAAAATATAGTCAGATGCTACATTTCCTCTTCTAATATTAGAATCTGTGATCATCCAAGGAGGCTTAGAGAAAAGAACCACAGAACGTTTGATACTCAAGATTTTCATTGCCTATGAAAGATGGGTCTAAGGAGACTCAACTGAGGCATTCCCATACCCCTTACTAGACGTAAGAGCTGTTTACTTGACCCTTAGAAAATTGTTGTATGCATAGGTTTTGCTTAACTGTGTTTGATATTTACTATTTACTGTTACAAGTTTTCTTAACAAGCAATTTCACATAACCTACCATTCACTGACCAGACGCTTAACACTGGGGGTTTAAGATTTTTTTTTTAAAAAAAGGCAACTTTTTCACATAGTATACAAAGCTTTTATAGTTTTTAATGTTAACACTTATATAATAGTTTTAGGTAATAATTTATATTTATTTCAGTGGATTTCTGTACATTGCCCAGAGTCATTTTCCATGAGATGGGTGTTCATACAAATTTGATAAACTGATTTTTTTCATACAGCCCAATCCAATGTTCAATGTACAAAAAGTCAAAATCTTCTCTCCATATAGTGCTTTGAAAGGCATGCCTTCTCTCCTTCTAGTGTTTCTCAAATTTGACAACTTTCTTAATGAGGGTAAAGGAGGAGAGTGCAAAAGTTGGCTTGAAATTCAACATTAAAAAACTAAGATCATGGCATGCAGTCCCATCACTTCCTGCCGAATAGAAGGGAAAGAAATGGAAACACTGAGATTTTATTTTCTTGGCCTTCAAAATCTCTGCTGATGGCAACTGCAGCCATGAAATTAAAACACGCTTGCTCCTTGGGAGGAAAGATATGGCAAACTTTAGACAGCACAGTAAAAAAGCAGAAACATCTTGCCAATAAATGTCTATAGAGTCAAAACTATGGTTTTCCTAGAAGTAATGTATGGCTGTGAGAGTTGGAACATAAGGAAGGCTGAGCACCAAAGTACTTAATGTTTTCAAATTGTGGTGCAGAAGGCTCCCCAAGTCCCTTCGACTAAAAAGGAGATCAAATCAGTCCATCCTAAAGGAAACTAACCCGATTGTCTTTTGGAAGGACAGATACTTAAGTTTAAGCTCAAATATTTTGGCCACCAAATGAGGAGAGAGGACTCATTGGAAAAAGACCCTGATGTTGGGAAAGATTGAAAGCAAAAGAAGAGGATAGCAGAGAATGAGATGGCTAGTTAGGGCAGTGTTTCTCAACCTTGCCAATTTTAAGGCATGTGGACTTCAACTCCCAGAATTCCACAGCCAGCAATGCTGGCTGTGGAATTCTGGGAGTTGAAGTCCACATGCCTTACAATTGGCAAGGTTGAGAAACACTGAGCTAGTGTCATCGACTCAATGAACACGAATTTGGGAAAACCCTGGGAGACAGTGGGGGGGGGGGGGCAAGAGCGCCTGTCTGGTCCATGGGTTCGCGAAGAGTCCGACACGACTTAGCCACTGAACAACAAGATGTGTGGGCTTCAACAGTCAGAATCCCCCGGCCAGTTTTTGAAATCTAAACATCTTAAAATTGCCAAATTTGAGAAACACTGCACTGTGTAGCAGGCCCTGCAGAGACTCGAACCTCTGCAAAAGAGAAGGTCGGGACGGGGGTTTTCAACTCTAGGGAGGGACTGGCTGCTCGG